AGTATTATAAAGCATTTTAGCTAGCGCAGATCGCGTCCCCCAAGTTGACGCCAACGTGACATAAATATTTTTTATTAATAAATCATATATAAGTATAATTATATAATTAAATTTATACGTATTAAAGTTTATACATACCAATAAATGCTTGTTAAATATAGGCATTCAATCGGATATCGACCTAAGGTTTATGCGTAAGACAGGGCACAAACACATTGCAGGTTTGAATGATAAAAAATTTTTTAGCCACGTATAATTATTTTTCTATTAATACAACAATGATAAAAAATCATAACAATACATATATAAATAAAAAAAGCCGAAATTATATCGAAAAGTGGCACATCTTTAGAGGCTGGAAGCACGGGTGTAAGGTTTGCGACGAATGCAATCATCATTCACACCCATATTGTAAGACCTGTAAAAAAGTAGCGAATGGCATATATAGGCGATGCGAATGTGATAATTTTTTAAGGGAAGAAGCGATAAGCAAAAGCTTCACTATTTCACAATAGTTTCAAGTTCCTAACTCATCTATTATATATCCTCGAATATTTACGATCAATGCTGTAATGATAGTTTAAGCAGAATTCATGTAATTCATGTAACCTTACTGTGACATCGATGTCACACCTCCTCAGGATTTAATTTTCTATACGCTTGTTTCATGGAAAAATACAATATCGGTATTGTCATTTTATCGTGTAACAATACGTGACCTGTTGTACGACAATCTGATTGTTTGTATAAACTATAAAATGGTAGAATGTACGACTATTTCTTTCTAAAAAAATTTTTCGTCCTACTAAATACGTGAATATGTCTACTACCAGAAAAACAATTTCACTTCCTACAATCAACGAAGTTGAAGGATATAAGACAACGGAGGATTTTCTAGAATTTTTAAGCAAGCAAGACTTAAGACTGAATGATGAGCATTTCAATATTCTTCGAAAACAACAAGTTGATGGCGAGATGTTCCTCAGCTTGAGTGTCGATGAACTTATGCGAGCTGGGTTAACACTGGGTCCAGCTAAAAAAATCTCAACCTGGATTGAAAAAATCAAGGGCGAAGGACAGGGTAAGTAGTACCATGACTGCATTCGAAGACACAAAGTGTCGAGTTTCTGACTCATATTCCAAACCTATACTGCTTTCTCCGCAATAATTTCATTTATTAACTTGCGCCTCATACTTACTTCTCATACATTGTTATACTCAGATCAGAAGAAAGAAGCAAATGTAGTTTTAAGTAAGTTGATTAATTTACGAACTAAGGGGAAAAGTCGTCCGAAAAGCTTTTAATAATTTTCTTTTTTTACTCTATCGGTAATCAAGCTGTAGACGCTAAGATTTTACAATATTACCAACGATATAAGAATGAACATTCTGAAACTTCCGATAAAGAAATAAGATCTTTCATGTTCATGAATTTCATCTCACAATATGTGCCAGAGCATCCTAAAGATTCCTATGAAGACGTAGTAAAAGCATTTCAAGAATCAAACGGTATGTAAACATATTTAGAAACTATTGTGGTTATAATTTATTGTGATCTTATCTCGTTATTTTGATACTTGTTACTAC